TTAAATTTATACATTGTGAAGGAAAATTTGGACACAATCTTCGGCCGAGAATGGCTTTATAAAATCAATCTCGATTGGAATGCCATCAAAACATTGAAAACTTTTAGTGAATTGAATTAAAAAAAATTGCTTGAGGAGTACAGTCAAAAGTCGTTAATCCGGACTCGTCGGGACTTCGGCAATTCCGGATTATCGATTTTTCCGGATTATAGATCATCAGTTTAAATTTCGTAAGATGGCATGCAGAAGTTCTAAAATTAAAAATATGAAACCGTAATTTATGAAATAAAGAACAATTATGATCTAAAGGGTATCAAAATTTACAAAAAAAAAAAAGAAGCTTAATATTTATTTGTTTACTTTATTAAACATTTCTCTCAATGTAAGTTGTTTAAGTTGCTTCATTTTATGTGATAATACTTTCTCTTTAATTCTATAAACAGACATAATTTCTTGTTCAGTTACAAAGTTCCGCTGTTCAAGTCCCGTTAATTGCTGTTCCGAGAATACCGACTAACTTGACAAACGAAATTTTTTCGTTTTCACTAACCTCTCTGTCACATTCTTCATGTCTTTATCCATTTTTTACAGCAATTCCACTTTTTGTTTGTTGGACATCGAAACATACTTTCGTTTTGTAGATCCTTTGGGAGCTCCAGAATCGGAAATTGACATAATCGAAAGTTCAAGTTTACTTTTATAAAATTGCTCTTACAGTCTGCAAAAAAATAATAAGCCACATCCAATTCGAAGATTAAGGAACAACGCAATCATTAACATTAACTGAAATAGATAATTAGATAATTTTAGCTTACACCGTTCGTTATACATTAAACGCGCAGGCGAAAACGTATTCTGCACTTGCGCACACGCATATGCGCAGTAGTGAAGGTCTTATGTGCGCGCGTAAAACGCCTGTGCGCATGTGCCAACGCGGCGCATGCGCAGAAAGATTTTAGCTTTGAGGTCCGGATTATAGATCATTCCGGATTATGGGTGTCCGAATTAACGAATTTGACTGTATAAGGAAATTTTTGACGGTAAATTAGGTGAAATTAACAATCAAGAAGTAAAACTAAATTCTAAACCTAATACAACCCATATTTTGTAGATCACGACCGGTACCTTTCGCATTAAAAATAGAGTTGAATCAGAAATTGATCGGCTTGAGAAAGAAGGTATCAGGGTTCAGAATGGGCAACACCAGTTGTGCCAATTGTTAAATCTGATGGTTCCATTAGGCTTTGTGCTGATTATTCTGTGACTCTGAATCCTAATTTGGAAGTGCCACAACATCCATTACCAAAACTCGAAGAAATATTTTCATGCCTTAATGGAGGTAAAAATTTCTCGAAACTTGATTTCAATCATGCTTATCTACAAATGAGGGTTGTGTATTTGTTAACGCTTAATGTATGGATTAAATGCTGCCCCAGCTATTTGGCAGCGCTATGTTGAGGGATTATTTCAGGGGATCGAAGTAATTAAAATTTTTATGGATGATGCTCGAGTGACAGGACCGGATGATCAGTCTCATTTAAAAGCATTGGAAATATTTTTCAAAAAATTAAACTTAACTAAAAAATTTTTTTCAAAATGAGATTAAATTTTTAGGGCATAAAATTGATGCCGATGGATTGCATAAAACGGGTGAAAAGATTTCGGCAATTGCTAATGCCCCTACGCCGAAAGGCGTCTAAGACATCAAAAGCTTTTTAGGATTAGTGAAATTTTATGCAAAATTTGGCCCTAATTCGGCAACTTTGGCACATCCCTTAAATAATTTGACAAAAAAAGATGTTAAATGGAATTTGTCAAAAAACTGCCAGATAGCTTTTGAAAAAATTTAAAAGAAAATTTGTTCAGACAGAGTTTTAATGCATTACGATCCCTCATTACCATTAATGCTAGCTACTGATGCATCTTCGGTAGGTCTTCGGGCAGTGCTCTCGCATGTTTTGTCTGATGGAACAGAAAGGCCTATAGCATTCGCATCGAGGACACTGACTAACACAGAGCAGAAATACGCCCAAATCGATAAAGAAGCACTGTCAATTGTTTGGGCTGTCAAAAAGTTTTATCTATATCTAAAGGGGAGACGATTTTCTCTGGTGACAGATCATAAACCTTTAGTGGCTATTTTCAAATCGAAAAGAGGACTTCCTATCCTCACAGCCACCCGACTTTTACATTATGCACTGATATTGCAGGTATATCAGTTTGATATTGTGTATCGAAATACCAAGGAACATGGTAATGCTGACTGCCTGTCGCGCCTGCCTCTTAAGTCTGAAGATTTAAGCATTAAGGATGACGTTGAAATATTCCAACTCTCCCAAATTGAAATTCTTCCGGTAACAGCTAGGGAGATAGCTCGGCAAACGCGAGTTGATGAAGAATTAAATCGTCTTTATATGAAATTAAAATCTGGAGAAAGTTTGGAAGGTAGGGAAGCAGAGTACACCTTACAAGATGACTGTATAATGAGTGGTCAGAGGGTAGTTGTTCCGAAAACACTCCCAGTTAAAATTCTAAAAGAGTTACACCAAGGAAATTTAGGAATCGTTAAAATGAAGGCAATCGCCAGATCCTACGTCTTTTGGAATGGATTGATCATGATAATGAAGAAGTTTCTAGGAACTGTGTCGATTGTATTAAGTTCAAATCAGATCCAGTAAGAGCAAGGGTCCATCACTGGAATATCCAAATATCCAAGTGCTCCTTGGGAAAGCATTCAAGTAGATTTTGCAGGCCCTATTTTTGAACGAATGTTCTTGATTATCATTGACGCACATTCTAAATGGCTAGAGGTGTATACTTTGAAGTCCACAAATTCCTTTCAGACAATTGAATGTTTGAGAGACTGTTTTGCAAGGTACGGACTGCCTTTAGTAGTAGTGAATGACAATGGTCCTCAGTTCACATCGGGGGAATTTAAAACTCTTACAAGGAATAATGGAATTACACAAAACGTGTGCTCCATTTAAACCAGCAAGTAACGAGCAAGCAGAGCGGTATCCAGGAAATATTATTAATAATTATTTTTTGATTCTATTTCAGTGTGCTATCGTCTGAAAAATTCACCAGAGTTTGTTCTTTAGCTTCTGGTACATTTTTTACAAAAACATTATCTTTTAAAGTGGCGTTCCGATTGAAGTTAAACGGGCTGCTAAAAATATATTTCATGTGATTACAAATATATGTTGACCAAAAATATATACTTATAAAGGGAAATACAAATTTAACATACTCTTTAATGCAGTGGAATATTTAAAAGGCTATCAAATTTAATTTATAATTAACGTTTTTAGTTTTTACCTGTTTCAAAAGAAAAATAAATAACAAATCTTTTAATCACATTTAATTTGCTATAGCAGTTTGATATAGTCAGACATTCATTTTCATTAAAGGTAAATGAGTATGCAGAACTAGGAAATAATTGTGAGGACAAATTTTGCTATTTCATGGACTTGGAATTATAATTTTTGCCGCTGATTTTTTTTAACTGAATTTCTTGAACGCCTGATTTTATCTGAGAACAAGTACTGTAGTTGCAGTTATCTTATTTTTCTTATCTTTTTTAACTAAATTCAGCTGATTGCTGTCTTTTTCAGCACGCAGATTTCTCGCTATAATGTTAATTCAGAAATAAGTATTTTTTAGCAAAACATTCTTTCCCTAAGCGAGCGTTTATCGCTATTTCTGCCGCCATTAATTTTTGGTGACTACACCTGATTGCTCCTTTTTTACCACGTGACCCCAACGCATCCGCAGACATAAGGAGAGAAGCTGAACATTGTTGAACTCCATCCGTACGCCATCCGTCACCACACATCGACCGGATTGCATATGTTAATGAAAGTGAATTCGCTCGCTGATTGGATACACGCATAGACACCGCAACGCATACGCAGTAGTGGAAACGAGCCTTAAATCTCTAAATAAGTGGGGAGGGATGTAGCATCTGATTTCGAGAGTATCAGTACTCTTATACCTGAGAACCTCTATGAAAGAATGTAATGTAACTGCGTATATAGCGCATCGCTGCTGTCTTATGAGTTAGAAATAAATGTTTGTGCCGTGAACTAGTCTGTTTGGTTGCGTCATGCACTTCACTGAACCCACCTTGCAAGACACAACACTTGGAGTCACGCTGGATCAAAAACTTACCTTCAGAATCAACTTGCGCTCAGTAGCACAAAAACTTAAAATCACCTCAGCTGCTATGTGACATCTTCTTGGTAGAAGAAGCAATTTATCTACAACAAACAAATTAATTTTGTATCGCTCCATACTTCGTCCAGCTCTACTTTATGCAGTTCCGATCTGGGGACATGTAGCTAAAACCAATATTAAACAATTACAAATACTTCAAAATAAAATCTTACTAGAAATTATCAATACTCCTTGATATATTCCAAACACTAACATTCACAGAGACCTTCAAATAGAACCCATGAAAGACAATGTATGGTAATATTTTACAAAATATATAGTAGTGTCATATAATATATAAATATATAGTAGTTTAATAAACTATATTAAATGCTTAGCGGTCAACTTCTTTCACTCAGTACAATCCCACAGTAATAGCCTTATTATCACTCTCAGACACTAACCGCGTTTTCTCTGACTCATCCTACCCACATAAAAGAAAACCTAAATTGACTTATTCACGCTTTGTGGTTTCATATCATCTTGAAACGTTACTGAACTCACCCCCCCTTCCAATTCGCCGCCGCTAGGCTCCCATTCGCGCGGACCAGATTCTCTTTTCACCCACTCCCACACCTTCTACTACGCTGTTGTTCTTTCTTTCCTTAAATTGTTTATCAGAAGCCAAGTAAAAAGAAGTTTCTACATCTTGACATCTGACTACATCTTGGCTACATCCAGTCATCTGACTACATCTCTACATCGAGAATAAAATACGATCTGCATCTTCATCATAATAACAGCGAAACTATTATATTTGCCTGAGCTGAAGATTTTCCTCTTTCGCAAATCACTCTATCAGAGCTGGCAACACGACTTTGGCGGGAAAGTTACATCAGTGCGGCAAGGGAAACTGACAGCGTTTCTGTGATTTAAAGGTCTCTTGGTTTAATTTTATAATTTAACACTATGGATGTACCATCTCATCGTGTTGGACCACTACAGAAGAAAGATCCGGTTGGGGATCGAGTGCAGAAACTGTTTCAGGATTTCTTGTCTGAGTAAGTATGTTTTCATTGTTAAGAAAACTGCGATGCAGTGTACGAATGATACCTAATTTGTGAAAAGGATTGCCTCTGGTGTAGAATTGGGTGACCCTTCGATTAGCGACAAATTTTTCTTTTTAAATTTTGGCGATGAAACCTCATTTTTGGTTACCATGATAGTTTTAACTTTGTTTTAGCTTCTTGATTTTTTTAAATGATAATAGATTGATGTGTACATGGACAAATTTAAGGCAGTGCGCAATGCCTAGTTTGTGCAATTCTTAGATGTTTTTTTTTTAAGTGAAAGAGATCGATGTGTACATGGGCACACAGTTTTTGCAATTCTTTGACTTCTTTTGTATAGAGGCCATTTTGAAATGGTGCCTTACTGGAACCGATCTTGGCGTCAAAAAAGAATCGCAAAAACACAAGGGCCGACCAATTGTAAACTTTTACCATTAAAATTAATAAAATTGAAAACTCTTTCTTTAGTTGTTAAAACATTCATTGTCAAATCTGTTACGATAAATAAAACTTAACTCACAGAAAACGAAACTACAGTTCATTATTCAAATGAAATAATATTCAATTTCTTACCTACTAAGTGACATTTCATTCGGCTTGCTAAAAAAAAATCAAAGAAAGAGTCACATGAATCAGGAGGAAAATGAATTATATATGCATGGTCCTGAAAACTATGCCTAACAATTATTATTAGCCAGTTTAATTGCTTTTTTAAAATTGATTTTTCTATATTTTACTTACAAAAAAAATATTCAAAACTGAAAACTGGTGATTTTGATTTGAAATTTAGCAGTATGAAAAAATAAATCGGAATATAAGACAAAACATGTTTTTTATAAATATAGAGCACTTTTTACAAGTTCTTATATATATATATATATATATATATATATGATAATTCATAATAATTATATGATGATATACACATACACATATAAATGATGCTGCAATAGTATGAAAAGCAGCAAAAACAATCTAGCTGGAGAGAGAAACAGAAAGCATATGTGATGTATCCCAAGATAAAATCGCAAGTCAGAATGATTTAGTTTTGGTGTAGCTTTACTTCCATTAATTTATTTTAAGTTACTGAAATTATTATTGAAACCTAATGTAAGTGTCTACATCATTGGTGTAATGCAAGAATCATAACACCTGGATTAATTTTAAAGTGACGCAGTTTAGATTGATTTATTTTAAGCAGTTACTATTCACATGACAGAAAAGGAGGAGAATTAAGGGACTGTTGCAGATTTAAAGTTAGAATTCTGTTTCGTATAATTATTTTCTCTCTCACATACATGCACATGTATATATATATTAAAAAATATGTAATTTAACTTTTTTGGACTGTGTCATTTCTAGATCAATCTGTATCACATAGCTTGTGTAGCAAATTCAGAGCCTGAACTCAAAATTTCAAGAACTGAAACCTTTCTCTTAATAAGCAATATAAATCGTAACCTTCTCTTGGTGAGCCTCCATATTGGATAATTGCACGTTTTTGTTCCTACCTCTGTTGCCACTAGAATGCTACCATGCTGTTTTCTTCTTATCCCAGTAATTTCAAAAATGTAAATTCTGAAGTGAATTGTGGCCACAAATGTCATTTGAAATAAAAATAAATATGTAATCTTCCTCAGCTGCTGCATTTGTTGTTCATTATAAATTCTGCATTCTACACCATCAACATTACTATGTCTTTTTCATTACATATATTTGGCATCAACTATAACTTTCTATTCCATATATATACATATATATTACATGAAATAGTGAAATTTCATTTATATTGGATGTTTATGAAGAACTACACTTCTGTACTAAAGTGCTTATTTTCTGAAAGTCAGTAGGGAAAGAGGAACAATAATAATTAAATAAAATAGTTAATAAAAAATTAAAATTCAAAGATATAAATGAAAGTATAAAAAATTAAATTCATGATGACTAGTTAAATAATAAACTAAAATACTGGACCTCATCTTATTTGGGTCTTAGGTTGGTATTACATTTTCACTGAAAAGTTAAGTTGCTCAGTTGAGCTCTATCTGCACATACACATACATATTTCTGTCTGATATATTAACCCTTTGCAGTTGTATGTCCAATCTCAGCCACCAAAGTCTTTTTACCGCTCCGGTCGTATGTCTGTTGTCAGCCACCAAAGCCTTTTTACTGTTCTGGTCGTATGTCTGCTCTCAGCCACCACAGCAAGGAACTATACGAATCGTATACTGTATGCATTCACATATCAGTTTACACTTTTCCTATACGAACCTCAATGCTTAAAGGACCTATTCATGAACCAATACGGTGCTCCATCGATTGGAGATAACGTAATCTAATCTAAACAGAAGTTGTGACCCAGCGCTCGCCATGCAAGACGTAGTGGCGAGTCAGTCGTCTTTTGAACGTAATGAAATCGACAACGTTCAACGATACCTTGTAGAATTCCAAAGAATATTTTGTAAATTGTATTTAACAGTAATTAGACATTTTCTCTTCTTAAAATATTCCAGATTAGAGGTTTGTGCAATAAATAGTTACATTTTATATACGGTGTGAGCTAGAAGGGAGAACAGGACACCTATGCCACATTTTATGTTCGTCCGAAAATTGGTGCCACAACTGGTAGGTGATTTTCGTGATGAAGCAGATTCAAAACCGGGAAGACCATCGATCTCCTATAAGGAAGAAAGATTTAATGGAAAACTGCATATATTGCAGCATTGTGGAAAGTAAAAAGTAAAGATTGTAGTGAATGTTCAAACAGGAAGATTAAGGGTGGAAGGCACCAAACCCATTATTTTTGCGATACATGCACTCGAAAACCTGGCCTGCATGTTGGAGAGTGTTTTGAAAAATATCACACGAAGGAGAATTATAAAACATAATTTTTATACAAAAACATATCACTAGATGAGTGTATTGAATAAAGATCTAAAGTTCACAAAAGAATTACTAAATCTTATTTATCCATCGTAAACTGCGTGTTATGTATCCCTGCTCTATCGATGGAAATTAATTCCGACCAGTACGATACCCATCTCCAAATTTAATCCGACCGCAAAGGGTTAAGTCTGTTATACATATTTCTATCTGAATTTAAGTTCTGAATATACAGTATAATGTACTGTTTTAAAGGATGATAGGAACAAAGATCATTCTTTTATCAGCACATCAGTAAGAAAAGGTAAAACAGTTAAAGTATTTCAGATGAAAATTGAGAGAATATTAGACACAGTATTATAGTTGAAGGAAAACTTTAACAGACTTTTCTAGGTATAAAAACAAAGAGAAAATTGAACAACTCTTTCTGGCCACATTCTCGTGCTAATATAATTCTAGTAGTCGAGCAAAATGTGATAGTAGTTCCTACAAATCAGAGAATGATAGGAGCAAAAATCATTCTTTTTTAGCACAGCAATGAAGAAAGCATCACTGTTGAGAATAGAAGTACAAAGCATCACTGTTGAGAATAGAAGGAATATTAAACATATTGTGAGAGTATGGAAGAAAAATTTAAGAGAGATATGTAGGTTTGAAAAGCAAAGAGAAAAGAGTCCAACACTTTATAACTACATTCCTCTGTGGATATAATTCTAATTGTCAAACAGAATGTGACAAGAAAAATGTCCCTTGAATCCGAAGATTGACCTGTGTGCTGAGAACAAATGTAAGGTTCTATACAAGTGGACAACTTTGGAAACCAGCGTTTGGTTATATTATTCCAAAAAGTTTGCAGGTGCTGTTCATGGAAAGTGATTGATGTTGGACATATATGATGAAGCTGCTCACTTTTAATGCTTTCAAGAACTAAATTCTACCTGTTGTCATAAATTTATTGCACTTCCTGGACAATAAGCCTTTTGACGTCTGAGTGGAGGCTTTTTTTTTTTCCTGTAAATGTCTCGACTTCCATCTAGAGATGTGTTTTTCAGAAAAAAACGGGCATGTGTACAGAAATTACATTTGATTTTTAAGGCTTACTTATTATAATAAATTTTCGAGATTATTCATTTTTTCAGAAAAAATTGTCAGCTAAAAGGTTAAATTGAGATTAAAAAACTTTGCTTATAAATTACATAAAAAAAGTGATGGAGCCCTCTTATTTTGGGCTGTGGTGCACTCCAGCTAAAATTATGATTTATATAAAAAATTAAAGAGTACTGAAGCTAGTCTCCGGTGCATTTTAAGCTTTGGTTCGGTGCACTTTAAGCTTCTACACTAGTTAGGAATGAGAACTCTTTAGCAGTATTTTATGTTTTTAATAAATATGTAGATGTATGTAATAAAATGATGTATTAATTATTTGATATTTATTTAGTGTGTTTTTCAAAGTAACTGTATAATATAGAGGGTTTCTGCACATTTTTAGAAATTTTGATAAGAATTTTTAATAAAAGCGAGTGTTTTAAAATAAAAATTTCTAGCAGTAGATTACTATTTGAAATTAGAAACATCATCTGCTATTTTTTAATTTATTCTTTCAAAATGCTGCATGTAAACAAACTGATGATCGAAGGATATGGTTCCCCCCCTCTTTTTGAGGAGAAATGCTCCTTTTCCATGTGACGTTTTCAAAAACATTGTGAAATGCATGCAAGTGCAAAATGTGCAGCATTATTAATTGGAAAGGGAAAAACCGCCAATCATTTCTTCTACGTGGAACGAAGACTCCTGTGGTGATGGCGATAAGGAGCGCGCCTTGCGCCCTCCGATAAGTGTGGCAACCCTAGAGGAGAAGTTTCTTACGAGTAGCGAGCAGAGCGAAACAGGGCAGGCTGTCGGGCAGTGTGCGCGAAGTTCCGAAATAAAGCTTAATTTTTATTGTGCACTATGTCTCGTTAATATTTATATCAATGCAGTAGGAACATAAATCTGTGATATGGAATTCGAGTATTGGTGGTAAAAACATAACAGGAAATCTTCATACTCCAAACAAAACAAAGGTATGTGGTGTTTCTAGTGTTTTTAAGGTTAAATCGTTAGTGATAAGAGAAAAATTCGCAGATGCAGAAATCAATTGCAAAATTTAAGTACATCTATGATAACAATAAATAAAATAATAAACCAAAATTTACAACTAAAGCCAAAAAACTTAATATTCACCTGTTTTTGCCAAGTCATGTAACTAAATGCAGATCAATTTCTGGAATCCTATATAAAAACTGTTAGCTGGAGATAAACGAAAATACATCATTACCTTTGCTAAACCATGGATTTATCTAAGTGACTGCAACAAAAAGAGTGTTATCAAAAATGGAAAAAAAAAAAAAAAAAAAGAAATGTACAAACCTTGTTCTGTTAGTGTGAATAAAGTTTCAGTAAAAGTTTTATGATTGTCACAGGATTCTCTTATAATGGGAAGTTAAAAATAAGAAGTATGGAAAAAATTTTAAAATCAACCCAACATACTATCAAAAGAAAGTTTTACATCTGATGTTTACAGAGGAAATTTATTTCTTTATCTTAATGATTTTCAAAGAATAAAACGTCTTGAAGACAAAGAAACAGATCAAAGTACCATTCCATTTCTTGAAAAAATGAAGACTGATACAGATATTGCATAGATACCTTTTCAATGTATTCCTGCAAAGTTTCCTGATGTTTCACCTATGGCTATTGTGTCTTTGGTTTCTTGAAAAGAGCTCTCTCTAAATGCAAACCCATCATGATTCATGGACTCTGAAAAGTAGTTGAAGAGGAATGGAAATCAATACCTCCAGAAATTTTACAAAAAACTTTTCTATCAAAGAAATTGCGTGCAGACTTATAGTTAGAATTTCTTTGAAAGAAATTTCTTTGGTACTGAATAAAATATATGGAAACATAAATTTTTCCTGGTACATTAATTCAACCTAAATAACCTTATCTTTCTGTATTTAAAATTTATATATGTCACTTAATGCTAATTTTCTAAATCTTAGTATGGCTATTTCTGTATATTAGAATGCCTTTGGCAATGTACATAAATAGAACATAATTCATGTAATTTTAAAATGCTACATTTGATTTTATAGGTACATGAATGATGAAGGAGTTCCCAAGTATTTACAGTATGTCAAAGATCTTTCTCGTCCTGAGAGAAATACATTACATGTCAGTTTTGAAGATGTTGGAAAATACAACCAGAGTTTAGCAACAACAATACAGGAGGAATATTATCGGTAATGAGTGTCTTTATTGTTAAAGATGCTATTATAAAAAAAAGTTTTTTGACTCATTTTTTTCCCTAACCCCAAAGTACAAAATCTTTATTATATAATTGTAGTTTTTTTCAGATTTTATTTATTAATAACTTTTAAAATGAAATTAAAAGTAATACAGTATTTGTCTAACAGAACTTGAAATTATTTATAAAGTATATGCTGTACAAAGTCCAAAATCTAGACATCCAGTTAAGGGAATAATCTACAGAATTGCCAACTCTCTCGATTTCTGACCATACTTTTGCCAACCTGATTTTTAACGTATTTCTCCCAGTTTTCTCTTATTCTTAAAATTTCTCATGATTTTCATGTAGCTTGCCTTAATACTTTGTTATTTGCCCCAAAGAAAGTGATTTTTGGCATCTGAAAACATTTGTTTTTCCTCTAGATGTATATAAAAAAAATCGTTTTGTTACTGAGATATGATGCGTTTCTGCTTTGTGTGTGAGAATCCGAAACGTGTCTGAAAACGTCAGGTTCTAGTTTCTCCAGTGAGAATCAAGTGCTGCTGCAGCAGGACTGTTTAGTCAGTTGGGAAAATGACCGACTTCGACTCTGACTCCTGGAAGACTTCGACTCTGACTCAGACTCCCTCATATATATGTATATACGAGGGTTGGAACTTTAATAGTGGCAACACAGCTGAAGAAACGCTATGCAACAAAACCAAAGAATATCGCGTATACCACACATGAACTACATACCTACCTTAACTCTCAGCAAAAAGACTCGTCCTGCCTACGTCAAGTGCATGCGTAGTGACGCGAAGAACGGATCCTTGTATTAGCTTGCGGTATAAAATAAGTGTTGTCAGGATGTTTTCAAAACAAGAACAACGATGTTGGATAAAAATTGAATGTGCCAGAGGTCGTACAGCACGACAGTGTCATCAAGGGCTTCAAGAGGCTTGCGGGGAATCTGCATTGCCTTACAGAACCGTAGCAAGATGGGTGAAAGCATTCAATGAAGGACGCCAAAACGTGGCAGACATGCTGCGGCCAGGTCGTCCGAGTGTCAGCGATGCATCCGTGCAAGCTGTTGCCACACTAATGGACAGTGATCGCCGCCAAACGATTCGTCAGCTGGCGGGACAAACAGGATTAGTGCATACGACTGTCCTGCACATTTTGAAGGAACACCTGTCCATGAGAAAAATTGCTTCACGATGGATTCGACATCAGTTGACAGAAATGCAGAAATGGCTACGATACGGTGCTGCCCGAACCCACCTAGAGCACTATGAGCGCGAAGGAGATGCTTTTTTACGCCGTATCATTACGCTGGATGAGACTTGGGCCCGATCGTACCAGCCAGAACTGAAACGCCAATCAAACGAATGGCGTCATCACGGGTCACCACGGCGTTCGAAATTTCATCAGAACCCCAGCAGTGTGAAAGTTATGGTGATTCTTGTGTACGACTGTGATGGTGTCATCCTAACGCATACCGTTCCCCCACAGCAGACCGCCACTGCGCAGTATTACTGCTCATTTTTGGAGCACAATCTCCGACCAGCTTTGAGAAAAAAACGGCAACACTTTTTGCAGAACGCTCCTCTCATTTTGCATGGCAATGCTCGGCCACATGCAGCGCAAGCTGTGACTGATTTGTTCAAGCGATGGGGCTGGGAAGTGCTTTACCATCCACCATACTCCCCAGATCTAAGCCCTTGTGACTATGACTTAATTCCTAAGATGAAGGAACCACTTCGTGGCACTCGCTTCCAAATTGTTTCTGAGATTCTTGCAACATTGGACCGGTCCATTCAAACTATCAACAAAACAGGCGCTGCTACAGGTATTCTACGACTTCCACATCGTTGGAAACGGGTTGTACACAATTATTGAAGGACTGTAAAACATGGTGACATGAATCACTTTTGTATTCCTTGTAAATAAATAGTTGCCACTACTAAAGTTCCAACCCTCGTATATATATTGAATGTTCTAAAATTCACTTAGTTCAAAAACAAGTTTTTCTAATACTTGCGCAATAGCTGCAAAGTAAGCTAATAATATTTTATTTATTAAAGAAATATTGATTATATTATCTCCTAATATAAATTTAGAAGAAGTATCAAAAAAGACGGAACCCATATGTAGGAAGTTCCGAAAATGTGTTTTAAAGTAACTTGAATGTAATTTATGAAAAAAACCATTTTACAGGGACTTGAATTTAAATCACGAATAACAAAACCTTTGCGTTTATTAATTATTGTTCATTGAACGGGAGTTGGTTTGTTCCCCTTGAAAAGTCAACTAATTTCTGATCAATAGCGATAATTACTTGTTTTTAATTTTTAATTTCTTTTTCAAAGTTTGAAATTTTGTTATTCATGATTTAAATTCATGTCACCATAAAATGTTTTTTTTTTTTTTTTTCATAAATTACATTCAAGTTACATTAAAATACGTTTTCGGAATTAAACTTCCTACATATGGGTTCCCTCATTTTTGTTACTTCTACTAAATTTATATGAGACAATATAATCAATATTTCTTTAGTATATATGTATAATTTAAATTAAATTTATTTAATTAAATTCAATTTATTCTTATGAAACAATTATATATATATATATATATATATATATATATATATATATATAAACATATATACATGGGTTACAGCTTATTTTTTTAATATCAAAGAAGTAATAGATGTTACAGAAAAAAATTGATGGCATAGCAAATTATTTATATTGGCATTTATTATGAAAGGAAAAACTGGCATTTACTTATTTCTAAGAAACCATATAGCTTCAGCAAGATCTTTGCGGGAGGACCATAAGTCCGATTTGATAAACTTCAGAGCTGAGAAGAGTCTTTCCACACTTACTTGAGTAGGAGGAAGTGCTATTACTGTTAGGGCTACTTCTTTTAACTTTTCAGGATAGATTTTTATAAGTTCTAAAAGAGGTGTCTTGCAAGCACAATCATATTTCTCTATTTCTTCAAAGACCGTGTAGTAATCTTGTTTGTATTTTTTCATTTTTATATCTAAAGACTCTTAGTTCTTCATTTTCATTTGCTTTGCCTTTTCAATATTATCTAAAAATATTTCTCAAAATGTAAATCACAGGAAGAGGATGATAGAGACTCAGTTGCAATGTCTGCAATCTGATTCGAATTCTCCATTTGTTCTCAGAATAATTTTTTCTTAATGAAAGTACAGAGATGTCTTTCTTTGTCTTTTTAATTTGTTCGTCATCCAAGAAAATTTGGTGTTTCGGAACCCGTCAAGATCTCATTGTCTAATAAACTAGTTTCTCTTTTCTTCATTGAAGAAATGATTCCTTCTGCAATAAACCCTCCATTTCAGAAAGAACAAACATCCCATTCTTCAATTCTTGCCTCCTGTCAATTCTTCAGATTGCAGCTTTTTTGTGGCTATATACAGTGTAGAAAGAAGAGTTTCCAATTCTGCAAGATCATTTCAGTCTTTCTGTTAGTGAAACATTAGGGTTATCTACATCTTCTAAAAAAGTTTTTAATTCTAAAAACCACTTTATCGTCAAATATGTACTTCCTTATACTTGATCAATAATTGCTCTTTTTCCTGCTCGCTTCCTAAGAATGGCATCAATTTCGGGAGTTCTTGCTGCTATTGCTGCTTACCTAAATTTACCAGTGAGATTTGTAACTAAATGAATCAGTTTAATCACTACTGGCAATCACATCCATCCTCCTCCCTTATATTTATTTATTAATATGTCAATAAAATAGAAAATACTCATTAATATATATAGTCCATAAATAAAAATAATAACTTAGCTTGTCATTAATTTTTTTTCAATTAATTTTAATTTCATTTGAAATTCAAACTGTCCAACAAAAACTGGAGTCTGAGTCGACCTGTTTTTAGTCACTCCAGCTCCAACACCTTTTACCCTCAAATCTGCCCGACTCCACAGCCTTGCGCTGCAGGTATTTTGGCATATATTAACCAATGAGCATCAAGTAAGATCGAGGTTGTTTATTTCGTTCGTCTTGCTAAAAGGAGGGGAAAATCGAAACAACTTCAACAGCTGCATAATACTGAAATATGTATGTACATATTGGTTTTCTTTAGAGAAATTATTACTTCCATTGTTAAAAATAGTCGTAAGAAAAACTAAGTGATTTCTGTGCCTGCGAGCAATTTAATTGGCAATTCTCAAAATAATAGTGTAAAATATAAGCGTAAAGCTCTCCCAAAATAAAAAAAAAATCGCTTGACAAGGGACGCATTTTCCAGTTATTATAAGTTTATCTTGTGATGAACGAATATTTATGTTTTTGTCTTTGGATCTTAACAAAGCTTTTTCCTTTTTTACTCCATTTTGCCATCATTAATTATTCGTAACACAATTCCACAGTGCTGAATTAGATTAATTCATGTTTTGCAATCAATGATTAAATCTGGTTAAAGTATTGTTTAATGATTAGGGAAACTGATTAGAGTATTTTTCTTTTATTAGAAGGTACAAGTAGTAAAACTTTTTTTTTTTTTTTTTTAATTTAAGTATTTTTGCATTTAAGAAATAATAACTGAACTTTCAGATATTCATTAGTTACAATTTAAAGCTAATTCATTATTAAAAATATGTTTTCTTCCTACATATTTTTATTATTAAAAATCTTTTTGTTGTTGAGAAAATTCTCCTGATTTCTTAAAAAGTATCTCCTGATTTTTGAGTGTCATAGTTGAGCAAGTATGGATCTATTATCTGGACCTTCCATAAAATGTTTTTCGAAAAAGAATTTTCCTTTTTCTCATGCCTTAAATTGTTTTTTCTACTTAGCTGAGGTTTTTCTTCTCTCCCATTGAATCATCTTTCAGGTTGTTTCTGCTTTAAACTCCTGGGGGCTATTGAATATCATTTTCATTTTTTTTGGTTTTTGAATGATTGTATGTGTGGGTGGTTAGTGAAAGAGCTCTGCAAATTGTGCTTTGCTTTGATCCTACGTGATTTAATCCAGCTTATTATTTTGAGCAGTCTGTTATTAGTGTTATCTTATTAAAATTTAAGTTTTATTAAAAGAAAACTTCTCCTATTTTATTCTCCCCCCCTAAGTTTCTATCAGTCAACCAATGTATATTGGAATTTTTTATGTATTGAAATACAAGTATAAAGTAATTTTTTTTTAAAATTGATGCAGCAGGAAGATTGTCCTTAAATTCTTGGATATTAAGAAAGATTATCAATTTTTTAAAATTTGTATTTTATTACAGAATTTATAAACCTTAAAACTACTTTTCGACATAACTCACGATGCACATTAAGGCATGTGTCATATCTTGGACTAAATGCAACATACCCATTTCATCCAGCTGCTTGTAACCTGAATCAGTTCTCAACGTTTACTTTGATCTCATCATCACTTGCTAAGTGCTGGCCGGTAAGAAATTTTGTGATATGAGAAAACAAGTGGAAGTCGGATGGAGCTAAGTCAGGACTATAAAGAGAGTGGCAGAATTATTCTCAACTAAAGGAATCAAGCAGCATTGTTGTTACTCGTGTGGTATGCAATTATATGTTGTAATGTGTGAACACAATATCAGAAGTGAGTAGTCCATAAGTTTTTTCTGTATCGTGCTTTGTAACTTCTTCAGTGTCTCACGGTAAGCTGTAACATTGTTTGTTATGGCTCATTTCATCTACTCCACTAACAGAATTCCTTGACAGTCCCAAAATACAGTGCACATGATTTTTCGTGAAGAAAAAGGTGGCTTTACTTTCTTGGTTTACAGGAAACAAGTATGCCGCCAAGTGACTGTTGTTTCATTCATGTTTATTGCCTGTGACAATGCTTTTCAAAATATCATTTCCTTCTGTCGCATAACGCTTTTCCATTTTTGAATGTCCATTAGTGTTTTCGGTGCCTATCGTAAGCACAGTTTTTGTAGTGCAAATGTTCAATCACAGTTTCATGTAATAAAGATCATAAAATGTTTGCAAATGCATTTACAAATCAGAAATCATGAATTGCCTATTGAAACAAACCTTTTTTGTTAATGCAGCCCATGTCGATGCGGCTCCCTCGTCAGGGACAATTTTTCTTCCTTCATTAAACATCCTAACCCACTTTTGCACCAGACCTTCACTCATTGTGTTCTCTCTATAAATCTCACTTATCTGATAATAAATTTCTTGCATTCAAAAACTTGATAATGGCTGTTATTTCACAGCTGTCAGGCCGATCGATTCTTTCAAACATAATTACCGACAAACAATGACTTCAGACATTAAGCTAACAAAATGGCTAGGCTAATTCATTCTTGAGTTGAATGATGTAACTATGTGTGTACTTTTGTTCCTTCTTTATACCCAATCCTGTCAGATGGGTGTAAGGTATGCATAAAACAATACTAACTTTTTGGATCAGCTTAATATTATGTGCAACTTAGCAAGATCAAGAAATTACAAGTCCACAAATATTTTTAAAAATGCTTCCATAGACATTGGCAAAGAAGTATTAAATTAAGGAAAATTATTAATACTGTAAGATCAGCTGGCCTTAGAATTTTTATCTGACATTTATATCCATTACATCACTGGTTTTCAAACTGTAGCATATTACAATATTTTTAGTGGTACAATTTTTACAGAAAAAAATTAAATGAATGTTCAAAATGAGTGTAAAATTGCACCCCTTTGAACATTTTTTTAAAATCTTTATTATTCAGAAACATATATTTTTCAAGTTTTTGACTTTTACGACTTTAGCTTTAATGTTGAAATGACGACTTTTCTAAGAGCTTCGAACAATTTTCCAACATTACGATTTTCAAGAATTGTGGTGACACTCCAGTATACTTATTTATATTTTATTGTTATGTAAAAGTTTGATTTACAAATATAATTAAATATAAATTTAAAGGGTTGTATTCTTTGATTATATACACTCCATTTAGGATGCATTGATTTTTAATGGCAAAATGCTTTTATGGTGGTACATATATTTTTGTTTCATATTTATGTGGTACAAAATTTGAAAAGTTTGAGAACCCCTGCACTATATGTATCTTTTTTTTTTTTTTTTTTAGTTATTAATTAATACAGAGATTCACAACCAGGAAAATAAAAATACTTTATTCTATTTAAAAAATGCATGATTAGTTAATATCGTCTCTTGCCGTGGTTATATTCTGTCTTTCACGTTTTCATTATTACAAATGTTTTAAAATGGTCATGATATCATCTGGCGGTAAACTGTGAAAATTGCTAACAGATCTAACCTTTTTTTTTGATATCAAACAATGTGACTAGGTCTACTTGAGTGTCAAACCTTATGAACTCTTGCACAGCCATGCAGATGAACACAACAGGAAAAGGGTATAAAAGCTCTTTTGCTTTATCACAAATAAGTAACAAATGGCATGGTCATATGTGCATACAACTAAGTTACTATCCACTTGCAATGAGAACTTAAATGGTAACAAATTAAAAAGGTAAAGAGGTAGTGCTAGATTGCACAATTTAATTTAAACTAGCAAGTTGACTGCTACACCGGCGATATACTAACTAGATGGTCAGAATGCTTAGCCGGTACTGAGATTAACATCTGGAGAACAAAACAACAAACGTGCGCTTTACTAGCAAAATTACGCTTTGTCTAACCTTTTTGTTTGAACCGTTTAAGTACTCTGGTTCACCTATTTAATTTATAGTGACTGGAAATATCCCATATCCAGAATTGCCTAGTAATTGTAGATCTTGGACTTTGTATCGTATTATCAAAAATACATTTACATATAAGTTTAGGCCATTAGTTTGTTCTTGAAATGACTGAAATAAGTTATTAATTCTAATATAATAATGACTTTTATTTTTTTCCTTCACAGTGTATATCCATATTTAGGTAGAGCCATTTCAAATTTTATGGCTGATAAAACAGTATATGTAACTGAAAAAGAGCTATATATTGGATTCTGTGATATTCCTACAAGACATAAGTAAGTGTTGAATTTCTTAAAACTCAAGTTTCTGATGGCATTCTATAGAATTGTAGATAGTGGAATGAAGTATATTTGTGTATGATTTATCTGAAGAAGTTTAAATGTAAGTGTATTTATAAAATAAGACTAATATTGTTTTAATATTATTTTTTCATCTTTCATTACTGAGCTTAGATTGAATTCTGAAATGCATAGATCATGAATGAGCATAATTAAAATTTTATTATTATTATGATATATTCAGATACAGTACGAAGTCCGTAATCCAGACGTCCATTATCCGAAATGATCTATAATCTGGAACTCAAAACCACAAACTTTTTTTATTTGTATGCGTTTACGCATGCGCGTAATGCATTTATGCATGCACGTAATGCGTTTATGCATGCACGTTCATTGTATAACAGATGGTATAAGCTAGGCTAAAATTATTGTTACTGATTCTAAGGCATTTCAGTTAATGTTGCAGATTGTGCTGTTCCGTAATCTTCTAATTGGATCCGGCTTATTATTTTTTGCAGACTGTTAGAGCAATTTAAAAAGAAATCTTTCTTAACTTTTCAGAGAAAACTTTCTAAGTGTGACAAAACTTAAGAGTAAATAGTGACAACGTAGTCTCTTTCTCAAGCTTGAAATTTCGATCAAGTCAAGAAGAGTTTCCAATTCTGGAGCCGCCAAAGGATCTACAAAGCGAAAGCATGCTTCGATGTACCTTTTCCGATAGCGAAGAAACTGACAGAGAGGTTATTGAAAACGAAAAAATTTCGATTGACAAGTTAGTCGGTATTCTCAACATAGCAATTACAGAGCTTGAACAGTGGAACTTTGTAACTGAACAAGAGATAAGTCTGTTTATGAAATTAAAGAGAAAGTATTAGCACAAAAAGCGAAGCAACTTAAACAACTTACATTGAAAGAAATGTTTAATAAAGTAAACAAATAAATATTAAGCTCTTTTTTTTTTTTTTTTTTTTTTTTTTTTGTAAATTTTGATACTCTTTAAATCATAATTGCTTTTTATTTAATAAATTACAGTTTCATATTTTTAATTGTATAATTTCTGCATGCCATTTTACCAGATTTAAATTGATTATCTATAATCCGGAATCGTCGAAGTCCCGACGAGTCCGGCTTACGGACTTTGTACTGTATTAAAATTTCCAGGTAACAGTCAGTTGGGGGGTACAGGTATTGGCTAATTGTTTCTTGTACTGATATAGTTATGTTACTAAAATTAAGGAAAAAGATGTATTTTGTATTTTTTTTAAATTTCGTATTTATTTCAGAATCCGTGAGCTAACTGCATCAAAGATAGGGACTCTTTTACGAATCAGCGGACAAGTAGTTAGAACACACCCAGTGCATCCAGAGCTTGTTAGTGGAACATTCATATGTTTAGACTGCCAGACAGTTATTAAGGATGTGGAACAGCAGTTTCGCTATACTTTGGTATGCATTTTATATGATCTGGAATATTGTAATTTACTAGAAAAAAGTATTATAGAATGCTTTCATAATGGCTGTAAAATCTTTTTTTTTAAGTTTTGGCTGGTGCAAAATTGTTACGAAATATTGGGTTTTAATGAAAGTTTCTCACCACCGCAGATATCGTCTGCGCAAACAGTTCGCATTGCCGTGTTTAATCATATTTTGTGAAATTATTTTGGGCATTTGAAAGAAAGAGACTTGCTTTAGAATACGATGTGAAATTTGTAAAAAAATATCTTTATCATTAAGTACATGGTGTCTGAAATGGAACTACCTTGCTACCAGATTAGAATCATCATTTACTTTCAGTTCTGTTGCAAAAAGTCAGCTACAGAATGTCACCAAATCATAAAACAGTCTTAGGAACTAATGTTGTATCACATGAAGTTTTGGTACTGAAAGTTCAAAAACAAGGATTATGACATTCAAGAAGCAAAGCACTGTGACTGCCCTACTGATGTTGATGAGGCCCGGCTGCAAGAACTTGTGAATAAAAGATCAGTATGCAACCTTGAGAGCTTGCTAAGGAGTTAGACATTAGTACCATGTCTATTAGTTGCATTTAGCATTGCGTAAACTTGACATTCAAGTTCAGTCACTGCGTACCATATGAGCTGACTCAAGTAGATAAGGACAGACATATTCAGGCCTGCACTAATCTGCTCAAATACCAGCGCAAGGACAAAATTCTGGACTGGATCCTTGCTTGTGATGAAAAGTGGGTTTACACCAGCAACATGGGGCAAAAAGGGGGTTGATCTGTACCCAGTGAGCCCATCGGCAGTGTCCCAAAATGCAATTTGACCGACAAAAAGGTCATGCTTTGTATCTGGTGGAATAGCCGTGATGATAAAGGGTATTTGGGAAAAGGTAAAGCTCCCGACAGTAAGGTGTACAGCAAGATGCCTAGTCCATATTGATGCTGCTATCAAGGAAAAAGGTCACTCTGAGTTCTGCCACAGAAAGGTGTTCCATCAAGATAATGCAAGACTGCATTTGTCTGCATTCACTGGCTGGACTCTGTATAGACTCAATGGGATCTTTTGCCACACTCACCTTACATCCGACAATAACTTCTTTAGACTTCTACTTTTTTTCACACCTGCAGCTACTTCTTGTTTGTGCTGTCTTCTATTCTGTGTAGGACAACCAAAATGAGGTTGATTTGTTTTTGGACTTGTAGCAACCAAGGGGACTTGCTGTTTCTGGGCCGAAGGCTTTAAAAAAATGCCAAAACATTTGCAGAAAATCATAGATTTAAGTGGTGATTATTACCGTCACCAAAGATACTGCTTTCCTCCTCCCAACTATTAAGAGCATTTTCTGGTGGAAAACTTTCGTTAAAACCAGATATTTTAAATTGTTTGAAAAAATATGTGCATTATAAATATGAGTAAATATTTAGAAATGGTTTATTTTCTTTAGCCCACAATTTGTCGAAATGAAGTTTGTAATAACAGAAGTCGTTTTCAACTTGATGTGAGTAAATCTCGTTTCGTTGATTTCCAAAGAGTGAGAATACAAGAAACTCAAGCAGAGCTGCCTAGAGGTAGCATACCTAGAAGGTATTTATTTTCTTTTAACCATTTCTTTTTTCTTCCCAAGGTTCCTACTTGACTGTAATGTCATGGAAATTGAGCTGAAATATAAACCTTTTCCAAAAACGATAGGAATTTAAGAAAAGGAAGAAAGAAAAGAATGGCAGATTAATTCCTTCAAATGAAAAATACTTTAAATATTTTAAATCATATTTTAAATGATACACAATAAAAGAATTCATTTCTAAAAATAAAACAGTTGAAAGTTTGTTATAATCATTGTTTTTCTTGTAAACATCTTATATTTTGTATGATTTTAATGAACTATTATAATTTTTTTTTGTTAGAAGTGTTACTGTTCTTCAAAATATTGTAATTTAAATGTCACCACATAATGTGGGTGTGCATTATAGTTAATAACTATATTGATAAAATACTTTGTTTCTTATGTATTTTCTCATCAATCATTGTCGACATTCAAAATATGTCATCAGATAATGTCACTTAACCTCAATGACATGAACATATGATGTCAAAACCAGGGCTGTGGAGTTGGAATCAGAGTCGGGCAGAGGTTGGGGTAAAAGGAGCCGGAGCTGGAGTTGCTAAAAACAGGTCGACTCCAACTCCAGTTTTTGTTGGACAGTTTGAATTTGAAATGAAATTAAAATGAGTTGAAAAAAATTAATGACAAGCTGAGATATTATTTTTATTTATGAACTATATACATTAATAAATAGTTATTTTCTATTTTATTAACATATTAATAAATGAATATAAGGGAGAAGGATGGATGTGATATTTGCCATTAGTTATTAAACTGATTCATTTAGTTACAAATCTCGCTGGTAAATTTAGGTAAGCAGCAATAGCAGCAAGAACTCCATTCTTAGGAAATGAGCAGAAAAAGGAGCAATTATTGATCAAGCAACGCGATAAGGGAGTACATATTTGATGATAAAGAGGTTTTTAGAAGATGTAGATAACCCTAATGTTTCACTAACAGAAAGACTGTGGAATGATTTTGCAGATTTGGAAACTCTTCTTTAAACACTGTATATAGCCACAAAAAAGCTGCAATCTGAAGAATTAACAGGAGGCGAAAATGGAAGAGTGGGATGTTTGTTCTTTCTGAAATGGAAGGTTTATTGCAGAAGGAACCATTTCTTCAATTAAGAAAAGAGAAACTACGAGGGCTATCCAAAAAGTAGATTACGTTTTGGAATAAAAAAATAAACAAAGTATAGGAAACAAATTTTATTATATACAGATGATAGCCACACTCAAATACTACTTTTCTACATAGTCACCATACAAATTAAGGCATTTATCGTAGCAATGTACGAGCTTGGAAATTCCTTCGTCGAAAAATTCGGCCGCCTGCGCCTTCAACCACTTCGTTACCTCTTCTTGCCTTCCATCTTGCACAAAACTTGTGGTAACCAAGCTTTTCGCTGATGATTTCGTGCAACAAACTTCGCGAAATTTGTGGAAAACTCAAAGAAAGTTCCGTTATTGTGAAATTTCGATTTTCACGGACTTTAGCATCGACTTTTTCGAGAAGTTCGGCGGTCACTATGCTGGGTCTCCCACTTCGATCTTCGTCGTGAACATTGGTTCGGCCATTTTGAAATCTTATGACCCACTGACGCACTCCACCTTCAGTGATAATGTTGTCCCCATACACTTCACGAAGCTGCCGATAGATTTCTATCGGTTTACAGTTTTTTGCAGTCAGAAACCTTATTACTGAGCGCACCTCGCAGCTCGCGGGATTTTCAATTAACGCAGACATTTCAAACCGTCACAGTATCTGAACGGAGCACAGCACGAACCTCTCACTAGCACGGCTAGATGCAGACTGAGCTGCGCAACGCTCTGACCCCAAGATGGCCGCGCTAGCCCCGCCCCTAGCGAACACAGACGGAAACGTAATCTACTTCCTGGATGGCCCTCGTAGTTTGCTAGACAATGAGAGCTGGATTCAATATGTGTAGATCTGAAACACTGAATTTTCTAGGATGATGAACAAATTAAAAAAGCTAAGAAAGACATCTATGAACTTTCATTAAGAAAGAAATTATTCTCAGAACAAATAGACTAAGAGTCTACTAAGAGTCTTTAGATATAAAAATGAAAAAATATAAACAAGATTTCTACATGGTCTTTGAAGAAGTAGAGAAATATGATTGAGCTTGCAAGACACCTCTTTTAGAACTTATAAAAATCTATCCTGAAAAGTTAAAAGAAGTAAGCTCTAACAGTAACAGCTCTTCCTCCTACTCAAGTAAGTGTGGAAAGACTCTTCTCAGCTCTGAAGGTTATCAAATCAGATCTATGGCCCTCCAACAAAGATCTTGCTGAAGCTATACTGTTTCTTAGAAATAACTAATGCCAGTTTTTCCACTTCATAATAAATGCTAATTAATATAAATAATTTGCTATGCCATCATTTTTTTTTTTTTCTATAGCATCTATTACGTTTTTTATATTAAAAAAATAAGCTGTAACCCATGTGTGTATGTTTATATATATATATATATACGAGGAAGTCGGTCATTTTCCCTACTGACTGCACAGGCTTGGTCAAAACACTCAGATACTCCCCTTGCTTTTGCATAATACCCACTAGTTTCTTAAACAGTGTAAAATCTGAGAACTATTTATAAACTTAAAAGGATAATAATAAAACCCTCAATATTTATTTATGCTAGTAAGCAGAGATATTTTTAGCACCTCTGAGAGCGTATTTCACGCATTGAAAATCGGAAATACGCCTAAAAAAACTAGCGAGACGTATTTTCACGTATTGAATTTTTAACAAAGGTTTAGCTTAAAATATGCATAGCGCCCCATCGAAATCAACAAATATATATTTTTTTTTCTACTCAAAACACCACCGACACATTTTCGCCTGACTTTCCGCGACAAAGAATATAGGCGCGGCGCCGTGCTGACTCAGCGATCACGGCCAGAGCGTAGAAGAAAGAAGCTGACTAATGAAACTGAAGTTTCATTGTATATTTACGAGCACTGATTTCGTCATGCATTCCATGGTCCTGAATGGTATATTTACGAGCACCAATTTCGTCACGCATTCCATGGTACTGAATGGTCATTCGAATAGTAGAATTGGTTATCGACACATGTGTTTTGGGAGTTCGGTGAAATTTCACATTACGAGCTGGAAAAATCTTTTGCACTCTTTTCAGAAAATTGAAAGCGAAGTAAAAGCATATATAAAGGTAATTAAGTTTTTTCTAATTTTTCTAGCATGATTTCTAATATGCCTTTAAATTATTTTTATGTGTATAGTGTTTGCATTTTTAATTTTTTCATTATTCTGCGCTAGTCAGGAAAAAAGTCGAAATTTTATCGAGAACTACCAGTACAAAAATAAAATTTTAATTCCAATCTTCTTTTTAAAAAATCATGATCTTCACCAGTCTTATAGTGCAAATCTGGGTGTTTTATTGCTATTTCGTTAAGAAAATAGCAATTTTATCATGATTTTTCGGTACAAAAATTGGAATCGCATCGATAATTGTCTGCTGTGATAAAAAGACATCTCCTTGCGATCTTCTAGTGTGCAAATCGGGACTTAATGTTCTGGTTATATGAAATTAATTCGTCTAAGAGTCACCCTATGCGAAAATCGATATTTAGCTGACATCTATCTATTCAAAATTAATATTTTGCATAAATTTTGAGATTTTTACCGATTTTTGGGCAAAAATAAGTATTTTTTCAGATTGTACAAACCCTGCTGTAAATACTCTTGTTTTCTTGAAATATTCTGTAGGAGAAGTTTAATTTTTATTATTATTATTATTTTAATTTGATGACGCGAGATCACCTAACTCATTACGATTTTAACTAAAAGTCACCCTTAAAACGATTGTAATTTGTATTCACGCTTATAAGATAAATTCCTTTCATATAAAAATTAATATTTTAAGCAAGATTAAGATCGCATATGGAGAAAATTTTAAATTTAAGAAATTCCATACAGTCTACAAAACGAAACGAAAGTTTCTACAAGTGATCAGCTTTTAGGAGAAGCACATCAAACATATTTTTTAGTTTCTAACTAACTATTTTTTTTAAACTGTTTCATTCAATAGGGTGGTCCCCTTGAGACTGAAGCAATTCCAGGAGAAAAATTAATTTCAATATTTAAATATGAGTTCTAAATCCATCAAGAAGTTTTTTTTTTATAAAAAAGCCGTCAAGCCAAGTATCGACCAGCTCGGAACCATCAGCTAAGAAACCAAAGATTGATGAACAACCAGAAGAAACTACTTCTAAACATGATAAGTTTTTGAGTAAGGGGCTTAAAGAATTTCCTTGGGTCCTCTTCAATAAAGAGCAAAATAAAATGTTTTGTAAAACATGTCAATCTGCCAATATGAAGAATGGCATGGGTGTGATGGGTTCGTCATGTTTCCAAAGAAGTACTCTGTGTCGCCACGAGAAAAACTACAGAACACATTCTTTCTTTAACCCTCTCAGCATTAAGGCCAGAAAATTCCGTACAGAAGGTTGCCTTCCACATTCATTATACATGAAAATTTCTGCTAGCTTTTAATGTATCTGATTTCAGTTTGGATGTATATTGGAAGAAAAGGAATCAAGGTACAAAATGAAAGAGTCATTTTTTTAATTAAAATCAAGAAAATATCACTTATTCATGACATTTTGAGGAACTTTGAAATTTCAAGGCTAAACCCATAATGCTCAGAAGGTTAAATGCCAGGAAAGATGCCAAAGCTCTTGAAAATATCATCGAAAAGGAAAAATCTACAGCAACAGATGGCAATTCGGCAGTATTCAAGACTGTTTACACTATTGGAAAAGAACTTACTTTAACGAAATTTAAGCTTTAATAATACTTATGAAATCCTGTGGAAATGAGACTGGGAAAGAGACTCACTTGAATTTATCTCAAAATTCAGTTACAGACATAATTAAAGCTATTTCGGAAGTATTAGAATCAAATTTGGATGAGGATGTTTCACAAAGCCTCT